TACATCTTTAATCTTAACGGCATTGACGTTCGTCACGCTACTGTTTTTTTGTATTTATATGCGATTTTAAGAAAATAGAATCTGCTAGATCAGCATACAATGAAAATAGAAGTGTATGTTGCAATTGTGGAGTCAGGTTTCAACGCAGTGTGCGAAGACAATTACTGGCCGAGACAACTGCTGATGTGCGCCAACTTTTATCTGTGTGGATTTCTCACGAGGTGGGTATAATATTATCTCATGGAAAGCTAATAACTGCACTATACAATCTATCTACTTACATATTATCTAGATTTAAACTTTTATGAGAAATATATATTATTTTTGTTACTCTCGATTTTATTCCAACAATATTACTATACTGCGGAAACGAAAATTACATATTTTCTTTTTTAATGTATTACTTAATATTTTTATTTTTATTGAATAATATGGGATATGGTACGATTTTTTAGAAATAATAAGAAAGGAAAACGATCCACAGACTCCAGGAACACATAACGATCTATACATGTTTAAGTACTTAATTATTTTAAGTTTTTAAAGGTAATGATAAATATCCCTTCATATTATTAATAAATTCATACCTTCTACAGCTATAATTTTAATATTTCGTTATATTAAATTGATAAACGATATATTATATTGATTGAATTATTTTACATTTTGACACAAGATGACACTGCATTCTTTCCTGCTATTTACCAACTTACAGGCATAGTTCTTTGCATTGACTCCATTGACTGTAAGAATAAAGTCTGTAGTTTCAAACTATTTGGTAGAAAAAATATAATATGGTATAAACTCGTTTGTTTAAATTGATGTAAGCTGTGTTCGTGTTAAAGTAAAAGTTTAAAAATGAAAATTCACGTAGTTTTACTGCTTACAAGTGGATTCGTATGTTAATGTCTAATTGATGCAAAAAATGTTTAACCTAAGGGTTAATATATCATGCACGTAAGTCAAATATTAAATACCTATTTCACATTTATGTATATAATTCGCCAATGACATTCGAAAATGCAAACTGAAGAGTAGAAGTCCATGTGAGCAATATAAGAGTTTATTTTCCTCCTAGAATTTTGTAAAATCTATAACTTATACTGAATTAACCTTTAACAAATGATAAACACAGGTCTTATTAATGTGTTAAAGTATTGAAGTTTTATATTAGTGAAATCTAATTTAAATAATAGATAAAATAAAGTCACACAATATACACAAAAGAAGTTTTTGTGGCATGGTATGATATATCACATGTTATGTGTGTCTAATTATCTTTTGTCAGTCAATCAGAAATCAAAGTCGAAAAAGTATATACAGTGTGTCTGGTCACGACCTAGTGATAATTTAAGGTTACAAAATATACCTAATTTCATCGACGAAAACACCCATATATTGGGGTCTACGCCCCCTCCTGTCGGAATGGCCGCCATTTAATTTTTTTTTATTCTTGTAGATACCTCTGCCAAAAGATGCAGATTTCTCAGGACAGGAAGGTCCTACAGATGTAAAAAAAATGTTATTTAAAAGGTAAAAATAGCATCTATCAAATAAAAATAAAAATCATGGAAAGTTTTCCTTATAAAATATCTTAAAACATTTACAATGCTAATTTAAGTGAAAAAAATTGACTATTTCTTTTATTTTTCTTAACATACTTCAAAAACTAGCACATTGATATTATTTTTTTAATACTGTACTAATACTTAAGGATATTACTTACAAATTGACATTAAAATTATTGTTCTTAATTGCATAACTCGAGAGTTAGGGCTGTTTGAATATGACCCTTTTGCGACGGTCCCAAACCCATGTAGAGCTACCTGCTACATTGAATAGGGTTTATGTGACAAGGACGTAAAAAGATTTGTATTATTGTTAGGCGATGAATAAGTAGGACAAAAAATCATGTTTGACCAGCGCAGGTATCGAAGACATTCACTTAAGATTGTCGCAATATGGCATCCAAAGGCCGCCAAATGAACGCTCCCGCATAATGTCAGTGCAAGCAGAAGAAGAAGTTCTTCAATTAATTTACCGAGATCCCAGGCTCAGTGTATGGCGAATAGCAATGATGCTGCATTTGGCAAAATGGGTTGTGTGGAAAAACGCGAAGGCATGCATCCGTACCATTTTCGTCGCGTACAAGATATTCGAGAGCCAGACTATGCTGTGCGAGCCACTTTTTGCTCGTGGCTCAACGGTTGTGTGCGACGTCAACCGACATTTTGTAAAAAAATCATGTGGACCGATGAGGCGACTTTTACAAGAGCTGGTATTATAAACCATAGAAACCAGCATTTATGGATGCAAGAAAATCCAAATGCAGTAAGGCCAAGTAAATTTCAACATGAATTTTCAGTAAATGTGTGGGCGGCTATGATTGATGACAAATTAATTGAACCAATTGAATTACCAAATACAATGAATGGACTAAGATTTTTAGATTTTCTAAGGAACACATTTAGAGAAATCATGGAGGAATTACCAGTGATCAACTGAAGGCGCATGTGGCTACAGTTGGACGGTGCAATAGCTCACTAAGCACGTGCTGTGAGAGCTTTTCTTAATGAAAATTATTCACCATGGATAGGACGTGGTGGAACGGTAGCTTGGCCACCTCGCTCTCCGGATTTAACACCTCTGGATTATTTTTTATGGGGATGGATGAAGCAGAGGGTTTATGCTACAGTCCCAAATATCAGGCAAGAACTGCTCGACAAAATGATGACGATTGCGGATGACATAAGATCCGACATAGTCTTAATATCAAGGGCCACACAACAAATGGCTGTAAGGTCAGTAGCCTGTCTACAGAATAGAGGTGCACATTTTGAACAATTATTAAATTAATAATAGTACTTAATGCCATTAAAAGTTTCTTAAAAGTTATAGTGTATTTTTATTTAATCCATTATCGAAAATTAATAGGGGCTCTCTCTACCCTCGCAAAAGGGTCATATTCAAACAGCCCTAACTCTCGAGTTATGCAATTAAGAACAATAATTTTAATGTCAATTTGTAAGTAATATCCTTAAGTATTAGGACAGTATTAAAAAATTTAGTATCAATGTGCTAGTTTTTGAAATATGTTAAGAAAAATAAAAAAAAATAGTCAATTTTTTTTTAACTTAAATTAGCATTGTAAATGTTTTTCCGTGATGTTTATTTTTATTTGATAGATGCTATTTTTACCTTTTAAATAACTTTGTCCTGAGAAATCTGCATCTTTTGGCAGAGGTATCTACGAGAATAAAAAAAAATTTAATGGCGGCCATTCCGACAGGAGGGGGCGTAGACCCCTATATATGGGTGTTTTCGTCGATGAAATTAGGTATATTTTGTAACTTTAAATTATCGCTAGGTCGTGACCAGACACACTGTATATGTGTGTCAATATTTATTCTAAGGATAAAATATTATGTAAATAGAAAAATAAGTCATTTTGTGCAATGAAAAATATTTTAATCCACTCTAATATTGCCGTTACAGCCAATTAAACTCCACTGCCGAACATAGGCCTCCCCCGTATATTACTAATATTACACAATTCCATAATACTCTAATATTATAAAGTTTATTTACCACTATATGATTTAACTCTGAATAAAGAGATATTATTTTGCAGTGGATACCATCACACCAGGTACTTATAGTACGCGTCACGTAAAAAGAACGCTGGCGGTCAAGCTGCGCATAGGCGATTTATCGGTCTACTTGGTGGTATGAGGTAGGGCGCGGGGCGGGTGAGCCACGCGCCGCATGTTTACCGATGCGCTATTGGTTCATCAGTTGAGCTTTGCTTCCCGCGTAGTATCCACGTTACTTTCCTTTTAAAAATACCATCGCGCACAAAAGTTTTAAATTACGAAATGGTTTTACATAGAGAAGTGAGAAAAATGATTTATGACGTATACTGTTTTATGAAGAGGGAAGCTGATAATAATGTAGTTAATAATTTAAAACAATGTATGAAACGGACCGCAGAGGCAACAAAATGTTCCGAGTCGACAGTGAGACGAATAGTAAAGGGTTCAAAAGATTCGGAATTCCTTACTGTGTTCCGAACTCCCGGCAAAAATAAAATAAAAAAAACAAAACCAATAACAGACATTGACAGCTTTCACCAGGGTGTTATAAAAAGAATGATCCATAATTTTCACGTTACTGAAAAAGAATTGCCTACCATAGGCAAGTTGCAAAGGAAGTTACAGGATGACATACATTTCCAAGGATCTGCAGCAAGTCTCAGGCGAGTATTGAAAAACTTGGGTTTTAAATGGAAAAAAACGGAAACCAATAGAAAAATCTTAATTGAGCAGTCACAAATTCGATTTCAAAGAATTGAATATCTGAGAAAGATTAAAAAATATAGAGAGGAAGTAAGACCTATCATTTACACTGACGAATCATACGTCGATAGTTCCCATGCGTCTCACCATGCTTGAACAAACGGTTCCATCAAGGGCATTAAAAAACCTGTATCTAAAGGTAGCCGCTTAGTCATAGCGCATGCGGGTGGCGATGCAGGTTTTGTGCCGAATGCTTTACTGACGTTTAAAGCCGGTACAAAAAGCGGCGACTACCATGACAATATGAATTCTGAAAATTACGAGCGGTGGCTCCGTACTCAACTGATACCAAATTTACCGCCTAATTCAGTCGTGGTAGTCGATAATGCATCGTAAACACAATAAACAACTCGATGCTGCACCAACGTCCAATTCAAAGAAAGCAGACATGCAAACCTGGCTTCGTCAAAAAGGTATTGAATTTGAAGACACCATGCTAAAGTCGGAGTTGTACAACTTAATAAAAAATTCAAAGATAAATTTAAGAAATTTAATATCGATGCTATTTTGAACGAAGCAGGACATTCTGTACTTCGTTTGCCCCCATATCACCCGGACCTGAATCCTATTGAAATGGCCTGGTCCCAAATAAAAAGTTATGTTGCCTGTAAAAATGTAACATGGAACGTGACACGTATAACTGAGTTGATTCATGAAAAAGTAAATTTAATGGGAGCAACAGAATGGGGGAAGCTATGCACGAAGGTAAAAGAAATAGAGGCTGATTACTGTAAAAGCGATCATGTGGTGGACATGATGACAGAAACATTTGCTATCCACATAGGGGATCATGATTCCGACTCAGATGAGGATGGAAGCTCGAGTGACGACAGCGACGACGATGAAATGGCCACTTCTAGCACCAACACCGCGTCCTCATCTGGTTTTCACGTCACGCATGATGACTTAATGGAAGGAGTTTCAACATTACTTTAAATTTATTTCGATTAAACATTCTATAATACATAATTCAAACATGTTTTTAATTCATTTTATTGATATTTTATCTAATATATTTTTCAATGTTATAACTAATAAGAATAACAAATATATAGGTACGAAGCCACGACCCGCGAGCGAAAGCCTAGTTAAAAAATAAATTAATAGGCACATACAGTACGCGCGCGAGTTCATGTCCATCGGGGACAGAGGCGGCGCGCGGGGGCAGCTCGCCCCGCTTTCAACCACCTCGCCGCATTTGTCTGCAGTCGAGTGTTGTCCTTGACGGTTGTGACGCGCGCTTATCGATACAGAAAATTAGTCGAGATTGTGTTATTTTATCGTGAATAAACCATGACTACTTCGCTTCCAGCAAGTTCGGGTAGGAAAAAACCTTTTATAATACATAAGCAAGCACGTGAAATGGCGAGAAATGTCCTACAGATGTGTGTTGAAGAGAAAAAAAGAGAATAAATTCGCTTTTCCCGTTAACAATGCTTTAGATCGAGCGGCCCGTTACACTGGACTTACTAAAAGAACATTGTCTAGAATTCAAACAGAAGCAAAAAATGGACCTCTTCATTCGCCTTCTAAAAAAGGGAAATCGTGTAATAAAATGGGGAATTTAAATGTAGATGATTTCGATAGAAGTGTAATACACAGATGTATAGAAGAATTTTATTTGACAAAAAATATCGTTCCCACTTGTCCTAAACTTCTGGCGGCAATCCGGGAAAAAATAAATTTTCCCTGGGGGACTACAAGTTTACGAAAACTTCTAAAGAAAATGGGCTATAAATGGCAAAAATGTCACAACAAGCGAAGGATTTTGGTAGAAAGACCAGCTGTTGTATTTGCGCGGTCAAATTATTTGCAAAAAATTCGTCAATACAGAGAAAACAATCGCGATATTTTCTTTTTAGACGAAACTTGGATCGACAATAACCTCACATTTAAAAAGTGTTGGAGAAACGATTATATAGACGCGATACTGACTGACACCAGCTCAACGAACAGGCTGATTCTCGTTCACGCCGGATCCAGACGTGGTTTTTTGGATAGCGCAAAATTGCTTTTCAAAGCTGGTACTGCTACAGGCGATTACCACGGGCAAATGAACAGTACGAACTTTGAGAAATGGGCGACTGACATGTTCATTCCCAATTTGCCACCATCCAGCGTTGTCGTTATGGACAACGCACCATATCACAGTGTTCAGGAAAATAAAGTTCCTACAAAATCAAGCACTAAAACGGTTATGTTAGAATGGCTTATTAGAAACAATGTAGAGGCTTCACTAAGCATGAGAAAAGGCGAGCTTTTTGATTTGATAAAATTGCATGCGCCCCAAGAGAAAAGTTTTAAAATAGACCAGCTCATCCGTAGTCACGGACATGAGGTTTTAAGATTGCCACCGTACATGTGCGACTTAAACCCAATTGAGTTAGCATGGGCAAAAGTCAAGAGAGTTGTGAGGGAGTACAACGTTAACTCAGATTTATCCCTAACAAGATTGAAAGAAGTAACGGAGATGGCTATAAACCAGGTGACAGAAAAAGATTGGTGTGGATTCGATGATCACGTTATAATTTTGGAAGAGCATTACTGGCAAAAAGACGGACTAATGGAAAATACGATCGACAAATTCGTAATTGAAGTCAGCGACGGCGAAGATACTGATTCCGACTCTGCTCTGTCGGTTGTTTTTGCATCTGATAGTGATTAAATTGCATTTTAAAAAATATTTTTCTCTATTAGCAATAAACAAGTAAGTACTTATCACATTTATTTTATTTCATAATTTGCAAAATCACCTTAAGTTACAATAAACCAAATTGACAGCTGTTGACTAAATCGGTAGTAATTATCGACATTACCATAATTGATTAGGTCACAGCACTACCGCATTCCTCAGGATGGACATGAACTCGCGCGCCTACTGTAACTTTCGTGCGAGACTGTACCCATGCGCAAACACACTCCCACCACTTTCTTCCAGCGTTCTTTTTACGTGACGCGTGCTATACTTTATTTTAAAAGGTTGTAAATGGTCTCCTGCTTGAAATAGGCCTGCCCAGAGGATTTGCCACAATCACTTTGGCACACAGATTGATGTTTGTAAAATCAGACACCTTATAGCCATAGTAATATGTGATGGTACATACATTTATGTGCAAAAAAGTAGTAATTACTTGTACCAGAATCAAACATATAATTTATATAAGTATCGTAACTTAGTTAAGCCATTTTAATAGTGTGCTGTAATGGTTATATCCTTATGTTTTTGGACCATATCCTGCAACAGAATCAGATGCTTCTATAATTCTTAGACTGTTCAACGATAATAGTCCACTGCGAACCTATTTTAGAGAAAACTATGTATTTATTCTTGATAGAGGTTTTAGGGATGCAATTCCATTCTTGCAGCAATGTGGTTATAAGGCTCACATGCCTGAATCTAAACAAGCTGGTGAAATACAATTATCAAACATTGCTGCCAACAAGTCCAGATGTGTAACTTTGTTCAGGTGGGTGATTGAAATTGTAAATGGGAGATTTAAACGGGACTTCAAATTATTTCGTCAGGAATATTTTAATACTGCATCTAGTCATCTCATGCTATACTTTAAAATTGCAGCTGTATTAATAAATCGATTTCATACGTTGATTCGTAATAATTTTCATGTTGTAGAGATATTGGCAATTGCTCAAGCCAAACTAAACACTCCAAACAATTTAGCCTCCTACGTAGAAATGCACAATTTAAATAGAGTGAGAGTGCGATTTGCCAGCATTAATGGTAATCTTCCAGAGCTGGATAATTTTCCTCAACTGATATTCCAGGATCTAGTCCTGTTTAGTCTAGGAATTTATCAAATTAAACAAGCTCGTAGTTATTACGGGGAGCATGTCAGGGCTTCTGGAGAATATAAAATCGAGGTGTACCTGCAATCTGTCCATGATTTTGGTCCAAATAGTAATCTATTGCGAGGTAGGATACAATCAAGGCACACTAGTAAAAAAAATTATTACACTTATATACTAGTTGACACCAACCCATCAATTGCTAACACTAGGGCTGCTCTTTCTGGGTACTGTTGCAACTGTTTGGTAGGCAGACGCACTGTTGGCTGCTGTGCACATGTCATGTCTGGTTTCTATCTTGGGCACGGCATCGAGATGAGGTTGAACCACCTGCATCTTTTTTAGATGATATATTATTTTCAAGTAATGATATTGAAAATGATGAATGATGATTATTAATCTTAATGCGTATTAATATTGTAATATAAATGATCATTTTTGCTATAGTTGTTCCACTTGTAGCAACCAAAGTTTTTTGTGTTATTCTATAGGAAGATGCTGCTGCTAATCTCCTGGTATTCCTCTGCTGTTGCTCTGTGATGAACAGTCTTGATCTTCATCGACGTTTTTCTTTTATTTCCTCTCGTAAACGACGTAGTAAGGTGCAGTAGTAATCAGAGTTTATAGTCTGACCCCTTTCAAGATAATCAATCATAATCACACCTTTCGAGTCCCAGAATACTGAAGCCATCACCTTATTTGCCGACAAAATCGACTTAGCCTTTTTTAGGGGTGGTGAACCAGGTCTTCTCCACTGTTTTGATTGTTGTTTTGTTTCCGGTGTACAGTAATGAACCCATGTTTCGTCCATAGTAACAAAACGATTCAAAAAATCATCTGCATCGGCTTCAAATAACTCCAAACAGTCGCGTGAAATAGTCAATCGCGTCCTTTTTTGTTCAACTGAAAGCAGTCGCGGAACCCACCTCGCAGACACCTTGTGGAAACCCAACTCGTTGACAATGATGTTTTGAGTTCGTTCATAAGAGATGCCTATAACCTCGGCTATCTCTCTAATTTTTAACCTGCGGTCTCCCATTATTAAATCAAGTACTTTTTTTAATATTTTCGTCAGTAGTTGACGTCGAAGGCCTTCCAGAGCGGGGTTCATCTTTCACACTCTCTCTACCACGCTTAAATTCTGCTATCCATTTTTTGACGGATGAATAGACAGACCACAATCGCCTAATGTACTGACCATGTCATCATGGATGGCTTTTGATGATAGCCCCTTCTTATGGAGGTACTTAATGACGGCATGCTGCTCGATTTGCTCCATTCGCGGAAATTATGTCCGATTACTTTGTTAATAAATTTATAAAATCACAACTGATTATCGCACACGTTTCGAACTTCACACAATGAACTAGTCTGAACTGAACTAAATAATGTGGGTAGATTTGATTTTTAGAATTGAATGGATCTGTGTTAGGCCGAGTACTTTTCAATCCACCCACGTAAGTCATTCAAAGACAAGAATGTTTTCAAGAAATACTATTTTTTGTTTAAAATTGCACAGAAGTATTTTCTTATCACTTAAGTTTAACCTACAGTGGTGAAAAAAATGTATGTGGCAGTTTTGTACAACAAACTTAAAAAATAGCTTGTTTAATGGTGATTTAGGAAAGATACAATACTTTCTTGTCTTTGATAGAAAAAAGACTTATCAATGAGTAAAGTAACTATTCACGAATAATTTGATGTAAAAAAAGTACTAGAAAAGAATTTTTTCATTACGAGATGCTTAAAAATCTGTTTCAAGGTAGAGATTTTTCGGTATTTCGGAAAATTTTGTAAAACTGTAAATCCGTAAGATTTTGCTGAACATATATTGTGTTGTATTGATAGGTAGTGACCCTAGCTATCACCCCCTGCAGTATGTCGTGCTATTTACTGGACATCCTGTATACTATATCCCGAAATATAAATTATATCCCACGATTGCCCTTCACACTGTGAGATATATCCTTTAACCAGTGTGCGTTCGTCATTGGACGATCTGTGGAAGTCGCGGAGGCGCGGAAGTGTGTGCGGGTTACAGGAGGTGAAATATAATATGAAAATATTGCTCGGTCGATCGAAAAATATTTATAGTTTGGGTTTTAATATATATTACATCTCTGTGGAAACGA